TATATATATATAAATATTACAATACTTCTAATAATTCCTCTTCATTATAATATTTCCATTGGGCTTAGTCATTATGATCGTCCGCGCTTAATTTCTTCTCGCCTTTTATGTGCAAGGCAGAAGTCCCAACGACCGTAAAGTTGCCTTACAACGTAGTAACATCGAAGTGTGAATCATGATAATGTATGTGACTGTAATCGGCTCTGTAATAGCTTGATTGAATCTATACTTTACTTATATTTATTTACTCATTCTTACACAACACATACATTATATATATATACAGTTTCTATCTATTAATTAATATTATATTTTTTGATTATTTTAATATATTTACTTTTTATTATATATTTTAGTATTAATATATATATCTATAGAATAACATTATAGAATAAACATATATAATAACTAATAACTATTATAGAATAACATATATAACATATATATATATAACATATAAGTATAAGTAGTAATATATTATAATCTTATATAAATAGTATTGTAAAGTATAATATAAAAAAAAAGAAAAAGATTTTTACTATTATAATAAAATGTATTATTATTCTACTGTGCTATCAGTATAATATTAATACATAATAAAAATATTTATTGCATATATATATATATATGTAAATTTTTTTATGTAAATCTATATTATGATTTTAATTACAAATTTTTCATAAAATATCCAAGTTCTTACAAAATTTTTATTACTAAACTAAAAATATAAAAAAAGATAAAAAATGTTCATAAATACATACATATCACATATATATACAAATATACATACAGCATATGTATGTATACATCCCTTAACGAGCTAATGACACGCGATCGAAGTAATTAACCTAATACAAGGAAATAAATTCAATAAAAAATGAAGAAGAAAAAAAGAAAAAGAAAAATAAATAATCGTTTATGCAAATATTTTTTTCATATTATATTAATATAAGATTATTTATTTTAGGTTATAACACACACACATAGTTATTAATATTTTCAAATCAAATTTATATAAATACGATTAGATTAGTATTAAAAAACAATTTAAGATTATTTAAATATAATACGTACCATATAATTAATCTCTACGATTCAAAATAATACAGATGTAAAACGATTGTAAATGCGTTGCATAATTAACAAAGAAATTAATTAAAAACTATATACCATAACAAGAATGTGAAACGCGTCAGTTAACCCTATTCGTTTAAGATGTACAACTATCGCCATCTTGCAACGATTTCTAGTAACTATATCAAAACATACTTTGCTGGAATAATGCTCAATTGATATAACTTAGAATAAGCTTTTACAAAAACCTTCTGCGGATGATAACGAAGTATGTGTTTTATTCTGTTTTCTTAATATCGTTCGATCAGCTGATCAGTCATGGAGGCTTCTGCCTTGAACCTGGTGAGTACCATCAGATGTTTTATTATTGGAATGTATGTTTTCTTCGTTTTCGATTTAAGTCTCCTCCTATTACACATTGAGAAATCATTCAAATATTGTTTTTTTTCCTTATCTCTCTTTTTTATTATATTTTTATACTTATTTGTAAATAATTTTTAATGATATTTTTTATCTTTCCTTCTATTTCTTCCTATTTTTGATTATTTTTTTTTTCTATATTTATCTACTATATTTATTTCTTGCATTTATTTACCATATTTGTTTGTTTATTACTTGTATTTTATTTAATAGAGCTAGTTGAATGTATTATTTAAATATTTCTAAGTTCATAAATAATACTCTTTTTTTTATTGTATTAATTTTTGGTTATCTTTTTATTTTCAATTGGAATTTTGTTCCTTTGTCTCATTACATTTCATTTACTTTCTTTACTTATTTCAATATGATGCATTCAAAATTAAGAAGAGATATGTACATTGCAAATATAATTCTTATTTTATCTATCGTTAGAAAGTTTAATCAATCTACCAGTTGACGATGGCAAAGTGAAACAAAAGATATGATATGAGTTGACAAATGTTAATTAAGAACAATTACTGTCAAATGAATATAGTGCAATGATATTTGGTTTATAATTAGAAAGAAATTGGAAAAATTGTTACTTATGAGAAAACAATGATCGATAAATAGATTTTTCTTCAAAATAATTATTTTGATGAAGTAAACCATGTTACTTTTTGTTTAGCCAAATATCTTACAAGATAATGACTGGAAGGTCTTTTTTATATGGATTCATTTTAATAAAAAAAGAGACTTTGTAATAAAATATTTTCTTAATAATCACATTGTGTATTACAATATCATTTCAAGTTTTCTATTGTCATAAATACCTTTACTTATGTTTGCAATTATTTGTTTTTATTAGTTGTAATTTTGTGTCATTATATAACCTAAAAAATTGGAAAAGTAATTTAAATTACAATGCATAACAATAGAAATATCAACAAGAAATAACATTTCTATACTCTTTGTATTATTTTCTATATTATTATCGTTAAAATATATGTATATGTATATGTAGATAAAAATTCATTAAAGATGATAAGAACTGTAATGTTTTGAAATAAAGCAGCATAAACAAAGAGACAATCTTAGAAATAATATCATTAAATGTATATATGTATATATTCATATCAAACTGAAAATTATCTGAAGGTCTATTCATACTCTTTAATATATTTTTTTTACTAACAATAAGATAGAACGGTATTGACCAGAATAACCATGACTATCAGTTCAATGTCGTACCATATTCTTACTTGTTACATATAAAGGAATTCAATCAAATCAAGCAATTTAAGCCTACAAATACATAAGTGATTTTCAGTGGTTATTATTCAGTTCATAATTACCATTTATTTGAATTTTTTTAAATTTTGATACAAGTAAATAAAAATGAATTATTTTTTATAATGTTTTCTTTAGAATTAAATTTGTGAAACTTCTTTTTACTCTTTCAATACTGTTCTTTGTTTTATTAGTATGTCATATGGTAAATAATATTGCTCGTTTTTGTATACAGTAAAGATTTAAACATTTATTCTTTATATGTAAATATTATTTTAATTTATACCTGATATTTGTATTTCAAACAACTTGATGACATTATTATTATTATTAGTGGATCTAATTGAAAAGCAAGATTTGATTTTTTATTTTAAAACTTGTATGAGTACAAATTATAAAATATTACACAGCTAAATACTTCCATCTTAGAAGTAAATTTTTGAAGCTATGAACTCGTAGATAAAGTTTTTAATATATAAAGGTTATTTTTTTCTTTCATGTTTTGCTCAACATTTCTATATAAATATTTATTATTTTAATTTTGAAGGCACACGCACGTCAAAGGAGGGCTGATGCATATCTAAGGGAAGGACGTTTTGAGGAAGCAGCAGAGTGTCACGAAGCTGTTGCTAATCTTCTAACAAAGGCGTTTATAAAACTGCAATCCAACCTTAATAAATCTGAAGCTTCAAGTGTAAATAGTTCAAGTTATAAACCTTCCTCCGGATCTATGCATACAGCTATAACTTTGGAATCTCTTGCACTTCAACGAGATTATCACAAAAGACAAGCAGCTATTGTTAGGTAAATAAATAAATTATTTTGATTATAATTTTTCACGATATTTATAAATGCTAAGAAAAAGAGAAGAAAGGATATGAAATTGCAAATTCAATTTTTTCTATTTTTCTTCTTCTTCTTATGTCTCAGGATGAAGCATGTACAATACGAAGAATATAAGATTGATTTAGAAATTCTAAAAAGAAGTTCTAAACAAATATCTAAACAAAACGAAAGAGGAAATTCCGCAGAATCTACGTCGGATAAAAATGATACTTCATTGCGTCAAGCTATATTTAAAACTATCCAAGAACAGGATAGTCTGATAAGCTTAATTTTAGTACCAGACTCAGAAAGTAGTAATTCGTCGAAATACCCTAAAGATACAACCACGGTAATAGAAGAATTAAAAACTGTTAATTCTCATTTACGTAGCCTCGTTGAAAGCTTGTTAACTCAACTAGAAATTAAAGAAAAAGAAGTAACAGAATTAAAAGAACGTTTACGCACTGTATCTGTAAGTTCTAATGATGAAACCAGACCAGAAGAAACACACTCACTAAATCTACCACCCCTGCCACCATTAACGCCGCTTGAAATGCCACTGTTTGATTTTACAGCATCTTAACTAATTTTTTACCTTAAATATTAACTGCTCTCTCTCTCTTTCTCTCTCTCTCTCTTTCTCTCTCTCTCTCTTTCTCTCTCTCTCTCTTCTTCTATTTCTCTTAAAAATAATATGGTGTTCATCGTACTTACAATTTTATCGTGACAATAGTATGAAAATAGTTCATCTTAAAAATTCATATAGACTTAAGAAAGAGATAATACAGCAACAAATGATTTGCACAATAATATCATCAATATCATCATCATCATCATCATCAGAATAATGAAAAATATTTCAATATTTAAACAATTGTATATTTATTACATTATTCTTATGACTTTTCTCATTTATTTATTATATAAAAAAAAAAGTAGAGTTATATTAACTTTGATTAAGTTTTATGGTACAAGCTATTCATAGTAAAAAATTCATTACATCACTATCTCTTATATAAGTCTCTTATATTTTATTAATTTTATTTAATAACTAACTATTTATATATACCTATATGTCACTCATAGATTTATTCAACATTATTCCATTTAATAATAATATTAATATTAAATGTAATTAACAAGAAAGGTCATATCTATTACGTATAAAAAAACTTCTTCTATTTTATATGAATCTTATTTATAAAGACACATTAAAATGAAGAAATGTGCGAACAAAGACATTTTTAATATTATTAATAATATAGAAAGAATTGTATTCTAATTTATCACTAATTAATGTTATTCGCAGGGAATAAAATACATATCAATTTAGACGAATGATTTCTTCCCTAATACAAGCTAAAACACATGTAAATACAATTTACAAATTGTTCAGATTTTGTCTTCTTCTTAATTGCGTTAGGACAACAACAATTAACAAAAAACAAACTGCCATGTAGCAATATTTATGCGCAGTTATGTTCGTACAATAGATAATGCTATATTATTTTAAGCAATGAAAGTGTCTTTAAGTATGTTGTGTAATAATAATATCGTATAAATAAATGTTACATGAACTTCAACAAGTGAATGATTAAAACATTTTGATGCCAAATTATTAAATGTTATTTTTATAACATATCCCTCGTGTTGTGAATTAAAAAAAAAAGTAATTATTTTAGATAAAATTATATATACAACAAAAGAAAAAATATTAATTACTCTGATTGCTCATTATTAAAACAATAAAAGAGAAAAAACTCATGAAATTGATAATATCATGCAAATATATTATTCGTTAAAAGTTTAAAATACAAGAGAATTATAAATATAAGAAAATACTGAAATATTTTAAAATATAATTCAATTTTTTAATATTTCATATATCATTAACAAATCAATGAGTATATTAGATTTAAAGAGAAATCAGCAAACAATTCTAAAATTATGGTTGGTATTGTATGTGGATAGATTAAAAAGTTTTGAACCTAATTTAAAAACAATTTATTTTCAGACAAATTAACTTTTATCTTTCAACATAATTTGAAAATTTTGTAAAAAGGACAAGCTCAAAACTTTTCAACTGACTTTCATATATATTTAGAAAATTTTGTTTGTTTACTATCTCCTCAGTTACTATGGTAGCAGTATACAAGATGGCGTCGATCCGAGCATGCGCAGTTGATCATTCGGAAGGAATACCGAGCAGTGATTGGTAGTGAGAAAGAGAAATATATATGTATGAAAGAAAGAAAGAAATAGTAAGAGAGAGTTCTCTTGAAAAGGAACATCTCGCGCCTTTGGTAAACTAGTGTGAACCGTACTCCTCATATAATATTCGGCCCAATCGTATTGCTTGGATCTCGTAGTATGTTCGTTCGTTTAGTACACACATTGCACGCGCACGGGTCTGCTTACCATTCATTTTTCTCTAATCTTGATTAGTATTTCAAAACTTACCCCAAAAAAATACGTGAATACATACTTGTTCGATTAATTTCTCGTGTTAAACATTAGCAATAAATTAATCTGATAGATTACAATCTTTGTTATTCGTTAACGTCGTTCGTGATCATCGCCATCTTGCGCGTGTTTTCGCCGGAGAAAGAGAGAGACAGAAGGGAATAGAAAAAGTGGGGACAACGAAAAAGAAAAAGAAATAATAAGAGAAACTCTCTGCGTGTGTGTGTAAGAAAGAAAGATAGATAGATAGATTGAGTGAAAAAGCATTAAATATCGTTTACTTTTTCATGTGACACACCCGTTTTAAGTTATGATTAAAGAACGACGTTAAACTCCTGTCATTCAGGGAAAAATGCAGAGAAGTGGTGAGTATTAATTTAATTAATTAATTAAAAAACTTCGATATATTTACGAAAAAAAGAAACAAATTCGAAATCCAATGATTGGTCATATTATATTGTTGTGTGTTGTTATTGTTGTGTTGGTTGTATTTTTATTGTTATTGTTGTGTTGTGCTGTGTTGTGTTAAATGAATTATCATCGATATTATTATTTATTCGTGTACATATAGTGTTTTATATGAAGATGTACAAGTGCACTGATATTTTCTGCCGGTATACACGTGAACTAACACAACGTCGTAATGTAACATAATATTTAATTTGTATTTTTGTTCTTTTTTTTTTTTCCATTCACCTTGTATTTACGTTCCGTGACTTCGTCGACCATTTTGAACCTCGGTAATTGACTTTTTTTCGTGTTTTTCTTTTTTTCTTTTTTCCTTTTCTTTTTCTTTCCTCATCGATACGCAGCGCTCCGCATTCCCGGTCGATACGGCGTCCGACCTAACCTCTAAATAACCGAGAGCTTCGTTCGTCTCAGAAGTCTCACCAATGCACTAATTCCATAATTACCTATGCATGTATCTATGTATGATATGTGTATGTATACAGTAAATATGATGTATATATGTAATATGCATTTATACTTACTATATGTATATGTAATTCTCATGTCATATCTAAATTGTTCGAATTCCAAACAATGTTTATATTTCAAGGTTAGAATTTATGAAATTTTATTACAAGTTTTTTTTTTTTCGTTTCATTACAATTGGACACAAATAACTTGTATCGAACTTTATACATTTTTATCTTTGATAACAATTATAGTATTCGATTATTTCTTCTTTCTTTTTTTCATAAAAAATAATAATAAAAATGTGTATACTAATTTTACAGGTAGATTGTTCTTAAGACGTATTTAAGTTATTAAAATTTATAAAATATAATATATTTTAAATATAAACATATTTTCTTTATTTTGTTATACAATTCTGTATTTCATATCACCAAGATACACAGCATCATAATTTACATATAAATTTCAATTTAATTTAATTTTAATCCAATTCCATATTGTTTGTCATTAGTATTTTGCTATTTTTCTTTCATTAATTTATTTAATATAAAAAATATATGTTATATAACTATTATTATTCATTTGTTTTTTAATTTTATTTTTTTTTTTTTGTATTCGGTTCGTAGATTTGTTCTTAAATTTCGAAAATAAATACGAGAGTTGGGCCCCATGAAAAAAAAAACTTGTATTATTTTTGTAATAAAAATAAATTTCAATAAAAAGTATTATTTTTGTATTAGGATTAGAACTTTTCAACCCACCGATTCAAGTATACATAAGAAATAATAATATTTGATCGTACATACAATAAATTCCCTATCTCTTTCGATAAAAATTTATAATAGCCCCATTCAACAATTTCTACGCCTTATGGTCACACCATTGTATTCCGTAAAGTGGCTCGTTGCCTTTAGCCATGTAACACTATACTATTATTCTACACGGGTCGTCGTAGAAGTTACTAGTTTCATTTTACATGCTTCTCACATCGTAACGAGAAACAGCACGATTATCTTGATCGAACTAGGAAAGAATACAGGTATTTTGTTCTCAATTAAATTCCATTTTATTTCGAAATTATTTGTCTAATAAAGTGTAAAAATTATTTTAACACTTGATATATCAGACCAATCATTTTGACTGGTCGGGCTATTTTAATTCAAAATTTCGACTTCATGTAAAATTTGATTTCTGTAAATAATTAAACATTTTGTTATTTAAAAATATCTATAAATCTATGTATCTATTAAAATTATTATTGTTAAACATTTTTTTGTTATTTTTTTTACGAGTAAATAAAGACTGGAATTTTTAAAAAGCATTTTTTTTTTTTTAATACACTAGTCATTTTAACTAGTGTGGTAGAAACAGGTATACTGCAAATGGTGGTATATATCTAGTGTTAATGAATGTAATGAGTAAATAAATTATTTATGAATTATTTAAATGAATAAATAATTACAGAATTATTTTATTAAATTATGTAATGTAAAATTTCATCTATTTCAATAAAACTTTGTTTTTAAATGTATTTTCGATTTATTGTTATTTTATTTTATTTATTTATTTTTTTTTTCAAAAATAGGGTAACATGGCTTCCGAAAAATCAAGAAATGTATGGAATTAACGAAGAAAATTATTTTATTTTATTTAGAAATGAAAAATAAGAATAAAAAGAGATAAGAAAAAAGAAGGAAAAGAACAGTTATCTCATAGATCTCTCATTCGTTATGAATTTTTATTACGTAAAAAGAAAAAAAAAATGTTGAAAAGTAGAATTAGTCACGGTAATGCATAAGCCGTATTATTTAAAATACTTCTTCCGCACCGTTTAAATTAATAGAAAACATCACTGACCTGTGTGTATTCAACATTTTTTTTCTATAAGTTTTAGTAAATGAATATATATATATATATATAGTATAACATGAAACACAAAATTGGAAGAGTGTAAAAATATTATTTAAAAATCATTAGGTATGTAAGTTCATCGATGTTTCAGTTAGTCATGTTTATAAACGTATATATAGATATATTACATATGTCTTTTACAAACACACGTCATTAAGTCAACGAATTACCTTATACCGCCATCTGTTAGAATCTTATTAAACTAACAGAGATAATCATGACTCTTTGTTAATAAACAAATAATTCGCAATAAAATAATATTGCGTTTATAAATTGAGATATAAACTATCCTATCTTTCAAGTTGGATGAAACTGCACACAGTGTGCAAAATTTGATTAAAATCGGCTCAATAATTTAGGAGTCCATTGCGGACAAACAACGTAACACGTAATTTATATATATTAAGAAGATAATCTATATACAAAGAGAAGGAGCTATTGTAAAGTAACTTTAGTCAGAAAATTCCATTCTATTGGAGATCCTTAAGTGGTCCAAGAAGATTCTATTCATTCGTTGAATCTCGACGATAGCTATATCAATTAAACTCGGGGCTAACGTTTAAAGTGGCGAGATTTAACAAAACGAGAAAAGTACTACGTGAAGAGGGAATTATCTGTTTGATATTTCAAATGCGACCTTTCATAATACAATCTTATGTTTATTAAATAGAAAGATAAATTTGATCGGAGAAATACTAGAATATTATTTGCTTAAATAATGAGATCATTTTAATTAGCTACAAATTGTCCTATCTAATATCTTACGGATAATTAGATCATTTTAATCAGCTAAAAGTTTTGAAAAGTTCTACCTTATATCTTACTTTGAAATCATTTTAATTTAACTACTGTTTTTCTATCTCTAATATATTTTAATCTTATTATTATTATTATTTAAATAATCATTCGAATATATCAGTTTATTTTTTTATT